TGATGCTGATGCTGATGATGATGATGATGATGATGATGCTGATGATGATGATGATGATGGTGATGATGATGATGATGATGATGATGATGATGATGCTGCTGATGATGATGATGATGATGGCGATGATACTGTTGATACTGATTGTGATGATGACCACGATGAGGATAGTAACGCTGTTGATGACGAGGACGAGGACGAGGAGGAGGAGGAGGATGCGGAGGAGGACGAGGACGAGTACGAGGACGAGGACGAGGATGAGGGGGGGGGGGGGTGGGGAGGAGGAGGAGGAGGAGGAGGAGGAGGAGGAGGAGGAGGAGGAGGAGGAGGAGGAGGAGGAGGAGGAGGAGGAGGAGGAGGAGGAGGAGGAGGAGGAGGGGGAGGAAGAGGAGGATTTTTTTTAACATGCACCGCTAAGGACGCCACAACCATCCTGCATTGAGTCAGGCCGAGGCGCAGAGGCTCCTGCACCAGAGTCGCAGAGCGAAAGCCTGGGGCAGAGAGCGGTGACACAGTCAGCGGCGAGGCCACACGGCTTCCGCACGCACAGGGGGGGACCATCAGCCCGACGAGGGTTGGCCCAACCGTCCCCCCCCCGAAGTTACGGACAGAGCGCAGCCATCGTGCTTGACAAAATCGTCACCCGTGACCTCTTAGGATGAAGGCCACGAAGCATACGAGCCCAGGAATCGGGTGTCCTGGGAGTGCCATCCTTGTTGACAGGAGGGCCATTGCAGCGGCTCGCAAGCTTGGCGAGCCTTAGACCAGAAGTGTATCACTTACACGTCTGGCAAAAGCAAACAAAAGAGTCGTCGCAACAATCAACCACCCAGCACCTGTGGCCGAGCGAGGCCAACTGAGCGACTTGCACACGCGAGTGATGGGAACAGGCTCCTGGAGGCGGCACCGCCGCAGTGCGCCTCCCGCGCAGGCACAGAGTACATTGCCAAAGGTCCCCGACCCGCACCCAGGAATGGCCCGCGCGGGCCACCACGGCAGGACGCGGCGGGACGATAAGCTGCACCCACTTGAGGTCTAGGCGAGGCCAGAGAGGCAGGAGGTGCGCAGACAGCTTGGCGACTGCTTTGGCAACCGAAACACTACGACTCACAACTTCTTGCAGCTCGGGCGCGGCGGCAGGGTGCTGGAGAGCACCCCTCTTGGCCGCTTGATCTGCCCCGTGGTTACCCAAGCGGTAAACGGCCTCCAGCGGAGGCAAGTCCAACTCAAAACTCTGGTGAGCCTTCACCTTGGTGAGACTCGAAATCAGCGAAGCGTGAGACAGGGCCTGCATCATCATACCACTATACACGAGTTTATAGCTGATCTGGTTATAATAACCTGGAGCATGGTACTGCTTGTGCACATTCAAGCAGTCCGTGAAGAAGTGGCTAGGACCCGCAGTCAGAAACACAGAGCCCCCGAAGGCTGAGTACTCCCCTCCCTGACTCGTCTGGGGCGTGGGGCTCCAGACGGGGGCCGAAACCGAACAGAGAGGGGCCGCGGAATCCAAATTTTCAAAAACACATAACCCCCACCCCGCTCTCGACAATTCACGCACAGGATGTTTAAAGCAAGAGCCGTCCATAAAGACATGGCCCTCGAATCCGCCACCCAGCCGAGCTGGGTCGTCGTGCCATTGAATATCTACTCCTGTGTCCGAGAGCGGCGGTGGGTACAAGTCCCCTGGGTGCCTGAAACGGCCTCGGGTGAAACGAAGGAGGTCCACATTGGGGTCCTTAGAGGCTTCTAACACCCAGGGGTCCACAAGACTGGCACGGAGCTCAGAACAATTACTAGACTCCCAAATCCTGTGGAATAAAGAATCGGGCTCCCCGCAGAGAACGCACTTCAGACAACACTGAAATCCTAAGCTAACGGCCTTGTCACGAGTCCAAGTAGCCCCACAGAGAACCGCTTTCACAGTGCCCCTCTGGATCTTGTCGAACTTAGAAGGCCGAGTAGCAGTAACCATAACGTCGAAGCACAACCGATCAGATGACCCCAAGGCAAGACTGGCCTGCCTCTCCAAAGAGCGGGGCGCTCCTTCCCTGAGGAGCTTCTTCAACAAGGCAGGTGATGTGACAGGCAGCGATATCTCTTGCTGGAGGTCATTGGTCAGATTGAAGGGGTCTTTCATCTGCCAGTCAATCCTGCACAAAGAGAGCTTCATCGCACCAACGGGTCCACCACACGAGCGCCATGTGATGTCCTTGGAGAAAGTGGCACTCCATGCCGAGCGCAGAACAGCAAACGATAGCGAAAGAGACGTGATCTTGCTCGCCGTGATCCACACCTCCTTCCCCCATCGAACCACAGGTGCTACCGAGGCGAGCCAAGAGGGATCATTCTCAGCAGTCATGAGTACAGCGAGAGAGCGACCTCCTGCCGACGGCTGCAACGTACGACCGAGCCCTCGACGAATCCGACGAACCTCCCCGTCACTACACCCATGGACTTCGGCACCATGTAAAATGCCAGGCAGCGGCCCAGCGGTGAATAT